GAACGTTAACGAGAGACGTCATTAATTTTTTCGTGCTTGTGCGTATACATTATTCCATGCCTTTGTATTGTACATTAAAAACGCAAATTTTCCGTTTTATACGATGGCATATCGGGCCTTAAATGTAGACTCATCTAAAATTTCAGATTAAATTCATCTTATGATATTATTATAATTATGTAATTAAATATAAATAATAGAAATATAATTTATACATTTAAGCAATAAGCAAATCAGTCTCATTTTAATTAATATATATTTATCTGTCACGTTTTATTTATAAACAATTACTTTTGATAATTACATTCTTTTTCTAGTGAGAGCTTACCATTCGTATGTGTTTAAACCATCTTCCCCTTCTTCTCCGTTATACCTGTTCTTGAAATACAGATACCACCAGTATTTGGTAAAGTAAAATTACAAACTACTCAGCTGCGGTGATCAATGTGCCGTGTTACTCGACTTATGGAACATTTAAAACTTAAGGAGACCTCCCTCCTCCAAATTAAAAAGAAAAAATGTTTTATCAAAGATTTATTTGTTATAGAATAAAACGACATATCTTAATGAAACTTTTTATACATACTTTATTGACCTTATACTACATAAAAAAATTTTTCTATAATTTTTTGCCACCCAGTGTCGTCTGCTACAATAGCTGTAAAAGAACATGAACGATTAAAAAAAAACCATTAATTTTATCACCCTGAAATGTTAACACAATAATCTGCTCATGTTACTGCTCAGAATAAACTAGAATGGAAAAAATCGGCAGAATATTTTTGGAGATATAAACAATTTTCGAAAAAAACGCTGCCATTTCTTTATTTTTTAACCAATGACTTTCATTCATCGTTCCGCTACGGTTTTTTTGCGTTTTTTTGAAATAATTTTAGCAGACGACATTGGGTGGCAAGAAATTATAAAAAATTTTTTTTATTTAGTATAAGTTCAATAAAGTATGTATAAAAAGTTTCATTAAGATACGTCGTTGTATTATATAAAAAGAAAATCGTCAAGAAAACTTTTTTTTTCAATTCTGAGGAGGGAGGTCCTCTTAAGTAATAGAAAATATCAAAAGTTGCATCCACAAATAGCAATTTAAAAAAACATTGCATACTTATTTTCCAGTTGCTTCTCTTTAAAATTCTACTATAACACTAACCTCATCATTCTGTAATTTGCAATTACTTTTTGTTTTATCTTTTGGTCACTGTTGCTCGTGATAGATACTTTGTGAATTATTTTTTTTAGAATAAAAGTAACGACTTTTGTAAGCAAGAGTGGCTTTTCAATTATAGTCATAACAATTAAAATCTACAATTGAAATCATTTTTATTATCTTCAATTTCTTTAAAAACGAAATAAAAAACGATTCATTCATATACATCAAGATATAAATCTTCAATATCTGTGAGAGTAAACATTTGTTGACTATACAAATCTAATTATTCACATCCAAGCTGCTTGATAGCATATTGGCATTATCCGACCCAAATTAACATGAGGTTTCATAGTGTACAACGTGTGCACCACCGCACGCATGATAGAGTGCGTAGCGGAACATCAAACATATCAAATTTTCTCATCACTCATCTACATTTATCCGCTAAAGTTCACAAAGCGTAACACAAACATTGAATTTCAAATTATTCGCTGAGGTGTAATGCAAGTGCGGGCTTGATATTTAAAATTTGTTGAGATTCAATCAAATCATTTTGAACCCATCAACTCGATTTCCTTCAATCAATTTTTTTTCGGACCAATCTTATTAAATTTTAAAAATTGTTGCTTTACGAGAGTAAATTTTTTCCCCATACTAAAATATCAAAGAGTTGTGTAGAAATTTTACCTACATAAATTGCAAACGATTTAATCATGATTCAAATACGATCGAAATTTCACTTAAATGAGTAAACCCTTTGAGGTTTATTCTCCTTTAGTCATAGATTATATAACCTCCGTATTTATACTATATCGAAAACTCACGATCACTAACGTAGAATTAATATTGCGTCTATAATAAGTACTAAATTGTCTGATTATAATCAACATTTGAAAGCTCATTGAAATGAGTTAGCCGATGAATTTGTGAATACCGATGTGCTCCAATCAATTCTGTGACATAGCTACGGAGTTTGTCCAAGCAACATACGCGCAAATTTCTAAGTTTACCGAGAATTAGACAGAATCAAGGGGATTGTATAAATTTTCATGAATCAATCTGAGGCTTTAAATATGTTCGCTGTAATAACATTAAAATATTCCCAGCATAAACCTGTAAACTTATCGCAATGGTCGTAGTGACATAAGAGTAGCATAATTGGTAGCTTATTAATTTCAGAATGTAAATTAATTTACTGAGAGTATATCATCCGTTTGCGCTTAGTATGGAACTGAACTGATCAAAATTTGGCTCATTTTGAGCGCCTTATCATTGATCGGAAAGTCTTTTTAAATTATATAGCAGTCGTTTAGTGAATAACTGCAAGTACAAACCCAACGTTAAAGAAATCGATGCCTCCAATGAATATTGATGAATATATCTCTAAGCTTAGATTCCACGCCTATAATTTTCACGCCCTGTGCAGAGTGCAGACCAAATGTAGCGATCAATACGATACTCTGTATGATTTATCATTGTAATACGATAGGTGACAAATGGCTTGACAGTTTATATAAGAAGTGGAATGTTTTTTCATTGAAATAGGTATAGTTTATCCTAGTTATCATAGTGGTTTACCATTGATTTTTATTTAACTAAAACGAGATCAACGAATCCAAACGATCAGTTGGAATGAAATGAAGCCGAAAATCCCGAATCGCGAAAAAGAATACTTCTGCAGAGTATTCCGCAAAGCATCACGTTAGAGCATTAAACTTATCTCTATAGCTCGGTACGCTATGTTGGAAAATGAAGCGTAAAGTCAACAAAGCAAATACGGCAACGCCTTAGCCTGTAGTTTTTATGAAGGGTGTTCTCGACTCGTCTAACAAAACATAACATCTTTTCATTCCATTACTCTTCATTTGTTCCTTGGAATATTTTATGATGTTTTGGAGTAACGAAGATATTGCGGTGATCATTCTCTGATCTAAGCAGATGCATGAATTTTAATGTCTTTATTCCTCGCAGAATATGCAAACTTTGCTTGATGAAGTATCAGCGCTTGACACTGTAGAAATGATTCATAGTAGAGAGATTCGAAAATCATTTATCCCTTTTACGTATATTATATGCCTTGTCATAGTGTTGGTTTGTATATTAATGCAATTAATTTACGTATTCGATTTCGCCGAAATATTTTCATTTACCTAGTACTCATAATTCAAGATAGTTTGAAGCATACAAAATACTTAGATTAATATATTTTCTGAAGAATGCTCGAAAAATGTATAGCTTGTATTAGAGCAAGTTCTAGCATGAAAATAAGTATTTTCCTCTCACAGCTACATTTCTAAAGTTCAATACAGACAAACTTTCCCAGTAGTGGATATCGGGTATACAAAAAAATTATCTGTAAAGGTCTCTACTGTACGTATTTGTGCAACAGTTTGAAAAACTTGATGCGGCTCTTGTATGCGATGTTAAGGGGTAATTTGAATTTACGGGGGTTTACGTAGGTTTACGGCCACTGCACGCAATGTTTGTTATCTTAGAAATTGCGACGAAAAAATGTAAGAAAAAACGTCTTGGTGCTTCCATTCGGAATAAATCGCTGAATAACATTTTCTTGATTTCCGTCTGCGAATAAATCCTTTTTATAAACATTGAAATCTGGTACATGGGTTTCCAGTCTTTTAGTCGAAGGTATATAAAACTTAGATACAAGGTAAATGTGCTTCTTACTTCATGTCCGAGGAAAGCACTTCGCAAACATGCCGAAGTAAATGAAAGTTTTAGTATAATGAGAAATAGTCGAATGGAGAAATTTTGTTCAAGATGCGGTTGATGTTCGATACTTCATTCATTTCCTTCACATTTTTTATCGGAAAATTCTATTTTAAACTTTATTTTTTTTTATTTTAAAGATTTTGATAATTATGATAGTGCTACACCTTTATTCTTTTTACTCTTATACTGTCACTCCCAAAGACAAGTTTATGGTCTATTTTTATCATGATTTTTATGATGTCTATTGCATGTCTATATGAAAACCGCGATCAAGTGATACATCGCCCCTTATATAATTTTATGCCAATGTCGCAAATGTGAATTTAAATTAGAATATCAAGACATGACTTTTCAAAACTCAATAAATTTTTAAGCATCTTATAGTTTAATAGGCCTAAAATACTATTTTTATGTTCAGTTTTTTTACAAACTTATTTTTAAATTTAAAATGATGTGTTTTCATACTCGAAGACTTAGTAAGATGATAAAAAACTTCTTTGTACAAAGATTTATTAATTTTAAAAGCATTATGCACGAAAAAATTACTATATTATAATAGTATACTTTGTAACAAGTGCGCGAAGCAGTTGACTCATCCAGAAGTTGTTTTCACCCGAGCGTAACGAGGGTGCAAAGACTCCTGGGTGAGTCAACTTCTTCGCGGACTAGTTACAAACGATATTTTTTAACCCTGCTTGCGATAATCTAGAGTTTTCTCAAGCTTTAAGATTAAAAAAACCTGTGTTTCACGCACGCAGTGTTGACAAAAAATGATAAAAAATCAATCAAATTAATTTTTCATGCTACCTCAGCCAAAACTAGCCTTTTTCGTCTCTGCGATCAAAACTAAAAAGTTAATTTCTGCTGGAGGATTCATGAAAAATAGTATACCCACCTATGAAGCGAAAAAAGAAATCCTCTCAGCACGTGTTATTATCGGCCAAGGCGAAGCTGAGGCTGATGAACATATGTTTCCAGTTTTCACATGTAATATTATGGTAATTAAATAATTTTACGTAACAAAACTTGTATTTTTTCTTTAAGGAAAATTCTGTAAAATTCAATCGCCTTCGAAGAATTTTAAGCCGGGAAAACGAATTCTGATGAGAAAGGATGATTTTAGATCGAACATGGAGCACGAGGATACTAATGACTTGGACTACGTTATCGCTCGTTTTCGCAAGCTATGGGCCTCATCGGGATCTATCTCAATTTTACAACACCTACACTGATTTTACTAAAGTTTCCAATATCAGTGGCACACGTTTTGATGGTAAGTTATGTCATTTTAAATAAAGTGAAATATTTAACTTCAGTTATAATGATGATGCATTCTCTCTAAGCATCACTTAATGAGAGCATATGATAGCATTTTTTTCGATAAATTTATTATATTTTTATACCAAATCAATCGATAAGATCTGTACACGTAATAATATAATATCACGTGTTCTAAGACCAAGTACACATTTTCTCATTCTGAAAATGTCTTTCAAGACACACTCATACGATCATTATAAAGTCAATATCTCTGTACTACTTGTCGTTGAAAGAAAGCGGAAAATCGTGTTTCGTTCACTTTGTTCAGAAGGGAAAGGGCAAAGTCTTAGTTTTTCTTGCAAGTCAGCAGTAGTAGGGAATCTATCGATAATGCAATACCCTAAGCAATCTGTCAGCAGTGTAGAATGTTTCAAGAAAAATCCAAAGTCAATTTGCCACGCCAAAGATTTCTTAACGTATGGTTCGTACTTTAGTACTTGAACTTTTTTTTATTGCTATCTGTGTATGAATTCCAGGTCAAGATCAAATGCATCAATTTTTTCATCTTCTCATATTTTGGATATTTCTTTATGTGTAAAAAAAAACTAAAAATGTTCAACGTTTATCAACATACTTATTTTGCTTATCAATCTGATCATTTAAAAAGAGTAACTTACAGCGCCAACAGTGATGAAGTTTTACAATAAACTTTGGAATATCAATGGTAATCAACATAATGATTGAGTTTACGTAGACAAACACTTGTAATAGGTTACAATTTAAAAGAAAATTCGGTTTTTTATGAATTTTATACAATTGTATTATATTTCATGGCAATTAGCATTGTTGATCATTGTTATTTTAAGGAAGCACAACATTGCATCTTGGCGTTTTTTAATTTAGAAAATTCTGTCCAAAAAAATGAAACAAACAAATTATATCTATAATGAAAGTCGTGAAAAGATAATTGATGTGTCCCATGGATTCTTCATTTAGCAAACGGCAGGAGCAAATATTATTTAAAATGTAAATTTCAAAACATTCAGATAAACGAGGCAGTCATTAGCGTGATGAAGGAATGTTATTAAGGCACTGTTAGTTGTTTTAACGAGGCCCTTTGAAATCCACTAACTTATCACGTAATTCAAGAGAAGCGACACAGTGTCAAAATTTGCACAATTTCCTAATTTATCTTATTTATTCTGATATCAAACGTAAACCAATGAGCCGTAGTGTTTTTTTTTTATGACTAAAGTGCCTTAGATTTATTTACTTTTGTGATGTGTGAGTAGTATATATAAATTACAAATGGCTTATTCTTTGTCATATTGAAAGTATTAAAAGATTTTAGCTATCAAGTTAAAGATTTTTGTCAAATCTAGATAATTTAAATTCTTTTACATTTATTCCTTAGAGACTTGAATCCGCGTCGTCTCAAATGTTCGAATTTTGCTTACATGAACAAATCCGTACCGCATTCTATTGAAAATATACCGTAACCCAAAAATAAGGCATGGATTTCATTTCGAGTCTCAAGATAATATAAGGTGAAAACGTTTGGAGTACCGAGTTTTTCAAAAATATTCTATGTATACATTCTAATATATTGTAAGCCGTACATACGATTTCTTTATGCAAATCGTCAAAAATTTCTGATAAAAATTATCTCTATGAGATGTGAACACTTAAGTTCTCATCAACGAAAAAACACAAAATCTAATCATGTTTTAAAAAAATTTAAAAAGCTTCCAATATTTCATTACATCACCAAAAAATTTTTTGGACTTTCGATTTTACGGAAAATCATCTATGAATTTGCATGAATGTTGATCAGTGAACAAATGCAAACACCTCGTATTTTTCAATTCTCAAGATTGGAGAAATAAGTTTATGCAACAAAGTAATAAAATTATTTTTTCGAAAGAGGCATATGTAAAGTGAGGTACTTGAAATAAGTAATACAGCTTTTGCTGCTGATAGGACCCTGGAATCATACCTTCGTAGAAATGTTACATTTTTTTGCTATTTTAAATAAGAATTTTTATTTAACGTTCAATTAATAAATAAATAAAAACTGAATAAACACATTACAACACATTTACGTGCTTAGTGATAAACTAAAATAGTGATTGCTACTGAGTGGACGGTAATATTCATATTAATTTTGCTACTTGTGTTAAACTTGATACATTTGTTAAGGATTAAAAAAACTCTGTCAAGCTTTTTATGCATAATTAAAATTTTAAACTCAGATTAGCATACATAAAATTTTAATTTTTCAATTGCACGATTTTTGAAGAAAAATTGTACGTGTCAGGATATATGTAAATTAATAAAATGATTATATGCATAATTCATATCATAACAAGAATTCCGATCAATAATAAAATTGAATGCAGCATTTTTCGGTCAATTATTTAAGACTATTTTATTTTTTAATAAATTGATGCATAAGATTTTTTTTATTTTAACATCTGTAATAACTTTAAACTGACATATTGTAGATGTTTAAATTACTGATTTAAATGATTTTAAACGTGAAATGTTGGGCTTTTATCCTGTATACTCTCTTGTCATATGTTTGTTCAAAAATCTTTTTCAGAGAAGCAGACAAAATGTTGAATCTAATTCATATAAAATTTTTTGAAAAAAAAAAAAAAAATTAGTATACATGTTTTGATAAAGATATTTGTTTATTTGTATCGACTAATTTAGAATGTCATCATAGTTTCAAGCAAATGTCCACAGAAATTCTATGCTTTTATTTATTTTTTAATAAAATATTTCACTGAGTCATTAATAGTTCATCTTACAAAATACTGTGTATTGTATTGTTATTAACGATTTGGATGAATAATCGAATAGAATAATAATAGAATTTAAAATATAAAATATTATGAATATTGTTTGAATGAAATTCGTAAAATATGGAGTAAAAGATTTTGTTTAAAATTATTTCCTTTACAGAAGATAGTGTAAAATTTATACGTTCAGTAAATTGTATCAGTATACATGAAAGAAAATAAATAAATATTTTGTAGAAGGATCTAACAAGTTAATATCATTGTTTGGGGGGTTCAAGAGTTCAAAATTAACTAAGCGTAATTATCACTTTCCGTCAAATTCAGTTAGATACAAAGTATCTCATGTTTATTTCTTAGAAAATTTGGTCAAACAGTGCAGTTCAAATCCATCGTTGCGAATTGCAAAAGCTTAAAAAATGTTGCACTTGCTTAGTCACTCCTAATTGTAGTCATTTAGGAGACGATGTGATAAGAAAGAAGTTTTTCAATCAGATTCGACTTGCATATATCGCCCCCCCCCCCTCCAATGACCAGCGCCAAAACTGGCTTAATAAGCTCCAGAGTCAAAAACGTGGTTTAGTCCTATCCGTTTAACATAGTACTAAGACACGTCTTTACCTCTTGAGTTTATTAAGCTGCTTTTTGCGCTGGGGCAACAATATACTGATCAAAATTTATTTGATGAAACTCTGTATATTAAGGAAATGAAACCCTTGATTGTGTATTCATACAATGTTATGATTTTGACAATAACTTGAAAATCGTTATATAATGAACTTGAATTTTTATTTCCTTTGATGTATTCAAAAATGTTATCTTTTGCACGTTTTTAGTGACATACGAGGCTACATAATATCAACTGACTTTCACACAAATGAACAAATCAAAACAATACGAACCAACTCAATTCAACGAGAGTGCAGTGATCAAAGCTACGTTACCTACAGTATAAACGCTTGCAAAGTGTATATACGTGTAGACTACTGCATGTATATAACTGCAGAGTTGGGCTTTGTCAATATCGGTCCTGCAAAAGGCTAAATCTTTGCTCAAGTCTGACTTACTCGACCGTACAAACGCTACTTTTGAAATCTTGAATATTTTTGTGGTCCATCTGCTCAGATATTTTTTAGAGTGTGACGAGAGCAAATTTATTTTTAAGTAGAGTATTCTGAAAACTAAAAAATTGAATCAATTAAAATAAAAAATTTCTTATTACATTAGTTTTTCAATTGATGACTTTGAAACAACTAGGATTCATGATTCAATTTGAGCTGATATTTAATGAAATTAAACAACTAAGTAAAACTAACTATGAATTTCATACTAATTTTTTATTAAATAAAATACATTCTCATTTGATAACATCTTGACACCCTTGCGCTCCTCGCAGGAAAGTTAGCGAGCGGCGGGCGTGCGTGTCTACCGCACCTCACCTCGTTTCGTTAATATACGTTTAAATGTATGTCTCTTTAGGTGTCGAAAGTTCCTCTTTCTCTTTCTCTCTCTCGCTTTATATTCAACTTTTGAAGGGCTCAGCATTACGTCATTTGTACCTCTGTGACTTGTGTCTATTTTACATACAGCTTTTTATTACTCTGTGATCTGAATGTATCACATAATGCAAAATATTTAAAGTTTACGGGGAGTTTTTTAAATGGAATTAAAAAATGTTAATACTTTATGGAATATTTTATTTTGTATTTAGAAATTGGACCGTTCAATTTTTGCCACGTCTGATCATTGTTTGGTTTACACTACTTAAAATAGCTACTTGAAGCTGAAATCGTACTTATCTTGAATATAAACTCAATAAAATATTTTCTGACAGTAGCTTGTAAAGTTAACTTTATATAAGCAAAAACTGCTGCTGTGTGGTGCAGCGTTGCAACTAAAAAGGCGTACGTACTATTGCGCTGTATCATGCGACGTTACATACTAAGCGCGTAACTTCCTTATTAAATTTCCCTGAGGCACTTCATTGCACAATGAGTGAGCGGCTATTGTTACATCGCCAGCCACTTGCAGTCTGGGTTTTTAAGAGGCCTTTTATTTGTGGACCAACTCAACCCAACTATGTGCACGGTAAATATCTTAAAAAATAATGTATTTTATTCTTTACAAATTGGTTGGTGTTTTTTATTTATAAAATTTGTATGGCGTACAACTACGTGGAGCTGACGTGGTTCTACGAATTCTATATTTATAT